TCTACACATGAACACTCACATCCAGTCATTTAGTTAAAGCCTTCGGCTTGATGAAAGTTGTTAATATTTGAAATGTTGATTGATGTAGCTTCCCTGGTGTGGGGATATGAATATTTTCTCATTTCTTAATGTCCTATAGTGAAGGTAAAACCCTTTACTTAAAATAATTGGTTTGGAAATGGAATTAGAACATTCTTCCTCCCCATTCCTTCCCTGCAGTTTGTGGACTTGTTGATTATTCTTTCTGGTTATGAGCATAAGTTAGTATTTGCCTCTTTCCAACACATACACCATGCAAAAAAGATATTAGGAAGTGTGCTTAATTGCAGTTACAACAACGTGGCTAGGATAGATTGGAGTGTGAGTTTTTAATGCCAATCATGAAATAAAAACTATTGAACCAAGGAATGAGTGTAAATCAGATACTCATAGGATATTTTTGCAGCATTTAAAGCAAATAAGATCTCATTATTATAGAATTAAAACTAAATTAAAGTTTTCATAGAAAATTTCTTAGTGTATCTCTAAGTGGGAAGATAACGACAAAGCCTCCCTGCAAACTTTGAAAGATAGAAATTAAACAACATAAAAAGGAAAAAAAAAAAAGCAGTAAAGGAATCAGACAGTCCTGCTTGAATGAAAGTAGATTTTCTTCAGCTATTAGGCTGGAAGCAAATGATCTTCCACCAATTTACTGCTGCAAAAATAATACTAAATTATTTTCATGGGAAGTATGAAATAATTTTATAGGACGCATATGAGTATCGCTACCTTAGCTATTTCATTTGTTTTTACTCAAAGGTATTTAAAAAACAATCAACCACTGTAGTTAGATTTCTAAAGCTTTCCTAATGAGCAAAGATCTAAGAATGCACTGAAATATGAATTTTATTTTGTCTATTCAGCGGGTAGCTTAATTGTTATGAATACTGTAGGATATAATAAGGCTGGATTAGAATCATTCCCTTGAAAAATAATGGTAAATCCAATGGGAATAAATTATCAGGTTCTACACTGAGATTCACAAATTAATAAATTGGACAGTGTTCAAATATTTTTGTCTCACTCAAGTCCCCTTAGTAGGTATATTGTGGTGAAAGAAATTAAGTGGTTTTGATTTTTTATAATTGCAATACATTTTTGTCTATAAAATGGTCCTTAGCTAGCTATTTTTAATTTTATAATCAATCTCCACCTATTTCCTGGAGAAAATATGTAGCCCTTTTATGTAAAACTTCCCCCAGGCAGGGCTGTTGAGGTTGTCAACAGTAACAGAAACTGTGCTGCAAACCTGCTAGTATCATGTGCCAGGCCTGGGTGACCTCTCAGTAGAAAAAACTATTCTTGCACTTATGCACTGTTAACTAGTCTTTAATTTTCTTACCAAGCCTTTGGCAGGGACTATAATTCAAACTAGAGGTTCTTCCTCGGCTAGCATGTGAAGAAGGACCAATCTCTGCCAACATATTCATATTTTAATACATAAGTATCAACACAAAAGTGACAGTAGTATTACTGATATTAATGGAAGACACAGAAGGGCAGACTTATCAATAAAGCACCATCTTATGCATATGAATCATGTACCTCAGAATAAAGGGAACAACACTGGCTTATTTTTCATCCTCTTTTTTAAGGTGCACATGGACCTGGGCCTGTGAAGTTGGCAGTACCTCAGGCCTTCAATTCCTTTGTGTTTGACTTCACTGCGGGCAATGCTGACAGCAAGATTTCCATGACTTCTCTCAACTCCCACACTTTGGGTAGTGTTGCGACCAAAACCCCTATTGGTTTATTCAAACAATCTTTTATTTTCCAAAGGGAACAATGCACTTCTTTAAGAAAAAGCTCTTTGGGGGCTTTTTGAAAGATTGGAAATTCAAATATATACTTGCACTTTTCCAGTTAGAAAAGAGTTTCGTTTAATCATGGCAATACTTTGAACTAACAAACTTATTATACTTACTCATAATATATTAATATTTGCCCAATACCAAGCATAACACAATGCTACACTGGATACCTAACTGCTACCACTTAATGATGCTGAAGTTATTGAAAATGATACTCGTGGTCTCATCTCCCTTTTCTTCCCCTGTGGACTTCTGTATCAAGACAACTTATACTCGAACTTTTCCGTTCACTTTACACAAAACAGCAGTAACTGTTTCCTATAAAACCAGTCATTCATTAAAAGGATTCAGAGGCCGGCGCCGCGGCTCACTAGGCTAATCCTCCGCCTAGCGGCGCCGGCACACCGGGTTCTAGTCCCGGTCAGGGCGCTGGATTCTGTCCCAGTTGCCCCTCTTCCAGGCCAGCCCTCTGTTGTGGCCAGGGAGTGCAGTGGAGGATGGCCCAGGTGCTTGGGCCCTGCACCCCATGGGAGACCAGGAAAAGCACCTGGCTCCTGGCTCCTGCCATCGGATCAGCGCGGTGCGCCGGCCGCAGCGCGCTGGCCGCGGCGGCCATTGGAGGGTGAACCAACGGCAAAAGGAAGACCTTTCTCTCTGTCTCTCTCTCTCACTGTCCACTCTGTCTGTCAAAAAAAAAAAAAAAATAAATAAATAAATAAAAGGATTCAGGAGGTGAACTTCCCTAAAAGAGTGTGTATAAATCATGGGGACTGTATATTCCCTTTAGGCGATAAAACAACAAAGTATGCGGGGTTAGTAAAGGATTATTAGGCCCTTATATTTTATATGAGACCAGCTCTTATTAGGGTACATTCTTCACTAGTTGGGACAAACATCTTGAATTTGAGATAATTCAAAAGCTTTGAGAGCCAAAAAGCATCCATCTTGCTTTTCTCTTATTTTAAAACCTGACAACCCCAAGTCCTCAATCAACTCCTCAGCTATAAAACTTTTGTCTTCTGACTTCCAAGTCTAAAAATTCAGACCAGTTTTTGTTCACAATAAATAGTGCAGCGACAGAGTTAAGTGACTTGCAAAGGTTCCCCATTAAGAGTGTGGATTTGCCTTTTGAGATGTCACAAGGATTTACATTCAGCCTGTTCACTTTAAGGCAGATATACTGGATTGCTGATAGACACAGATGGTGTACTTCAGGCCAGGGGAATTTGGTCTCCAGGCCTAAACACAGTGGCTCTATTTTCAAATTCTGACATGAAGCTTACAGCAGGCACTTCTCCCTGGATCAACATCAGACTGTATCATAGCAGGTGCAGTGAAAGAGAAAGGCCTTACAGAGCCATCACAGATCTAAAAGGCCATTTTTCTGTCTCAACTCAAGGCTGACCTGTCCAGTGCCACAGATGTTGGTGGATCCATCCCCAAGCCCTGGCAGCACACCTGCTAGCATGTCCTCACAGTTCCTGCAGCTGTTACAGGCCTGGCTGCAGTCACTAAATGGGAATTTTTAGGCCATTGGTACCCACGATACTTGGAAAATATGAGCACAAGCCCACATCTTAAACATTAAGCTGGCATTTGGATTTTGAGAGACTCATAGCCTCATATTATGAATGATTCCAGTTTCAATGAAAACATGTTTTAATAGAGTTCTATTAAAATCCATTCTTTTCAATGGGGGATTATTGCTAATGCTAGTCAGGTGAGTGACTCATGCGCTGCCTATTTTAAATCCTTGCTCCTCAGTGAGGAGCTGCATTGGATGTTACACAGGGATATTTGTTAGACTCCACCATTAACCAGGATGCAATGCAACTTGTAGGCTTATTTGGTTGATCTATGGAAGGTACCCTTTTAACAAATGTCTAAGAGTAGCTATGAGATGACTGTTAAGTTCTTGGCAAAGAATTAAAATCTTGGCCTGATGCAATGAAAATCAATACAGTTTCAGTTAGTTCCATTGCTACAGGGAGCAAGAATGAAACCAACCAGAGGCTTTCAGTCAGTGAGTTTCCCCTGAAATTATGATAGCTTCTGTGAGCAAAAAGTTAAGACAGAGTTACTTCCAGCAATTTATAAACCAAGAGTTTGTCTATTTCATGTGACTTTTAGATTCAAGAACAATTTCTACAAAATGTGCTAGAAAAGATACTACTTTAAGACAGACTTTTAAAAGCAAATAGTTTCTAGTATTAAATTATTTGAAATAATGAATGACATCAATATACAGAAACTGGATTTTTGGAGGGAAAGTGGCACAAAGAGTATAACAAAGATATTTTGAACAAGCAGAAATGTATTTGATTTAAGTTTATGTTTTTCTTTTAATCATTAGAATATAAAGCTAAAATTGTTTAGAAGATTAAAAGATTTCCTGCTTTTATTTTTAAAAGGAAAGAATTATCATGCCAAATATACCTCAAATATAGGGTCATTTTATGTTATCTTTTCATTTTGTTCCTTCATATATGTCATTGTGAAAAAAAAGAAGTAAAAATGAGGTAGTAAAAGTATCAAAAACATTTATGCAGATTTAGTTGATCTCTTTGGGCTTGACTATATGACAACACATGTTGGCCAATTTTTATAGGAAATCTATGCCAAGTTTATGAATAAAACAGAAAAAAATTAAGTTTAGACACCAGTTCCAGAAGATAAACATTTGGTATTAAAGCACCTTATTTAGTAAGAACAAAAGCAAAATCTTATATGGGGTTGTATATGCTATTAAGGGATAGATACAAAGAAACATGATATAAAAATTTAAAAATGATAATTTAAATATTTAACAGTTAATATGAACAAAGATCAGAAACAGGGCTTGTTTGTAACATATTTAAATCCTAAACTGAACACATTAGAATGGAAAACTGAAAAATGCTTGGAAGATTTTCTTTGATAATGCAACACATTGAGAGTTCTCTCTTGATCTCTTAGTTCCCTTCATCAAAACTTCAAAAGAGAATGACTCTAGAGCTTGAGAAATACATATTTAAAACAGAAGGTGTACCTGCAAATCATTGTTGGATGTCCAAAAAGTTATAAAGAAAGAAAAAAACTACCCACCTGCAATAGAATTTCATTTTATCAAGGATTGAATGCTAAGGTGTCATTAATAGGCCAACTTACATTAATAAGTTCAACCTCCCAGATTTTTTTCAACAGGTCCATTGATGTGTAGCCATTAATTAGGAAGGCTTTGGTGTAGTCACCCAGTTCAATTGAATCCAGCCACTCAGCTACAGAGGTGGGATGGTAGCCATCATGACCAATGGGTCTCATCTGTAATTAAGAAAATTGCATTAGGGTTGATTTATACTGTTTCCTTTGTGTTTCAACAACAGAATTCATCCTATCACTTGGAAATTTATCTGTTATGAAGACAACAGATAAGAAAAACAAGATACTTCACACACAATTCCAAATCATTAGTAATTTTCATGCTGTGTTAGTTTTCAAAACTACATGTGGAAATTTCCAATTTAGCTGCTAAATGAACTCCAATATTTGAGAGAATGAAATATGTCAGATTTCTGTTATAGATATTATTGATATTGTTAGATGGACTTTGAAGTGATGTCAGTTGACTGGTATTCATTTCAATGCCAAAGGCATGAGGAACTGCACTTCCAAATCATAGATAATTCTCATATGCACAGCATCAAAGCATGGGAAAATATTGCATGGTTTAAGCATTCAAGAGGAATTCATGTCTATGCAAGACATGCATTGTAGGTAGTGTGAACATGCTGCATGACATAGTGCTTGGGTAAACCAGTCAAGAAGAGGGTTTGGGTGTTTTAAGCCAGAGCATTCTGCATTGACTCTACAGGATGTTAGACACGAATAGAGAACCTGCTAGCAGACATACTCCTATTTTTTGTCAGCTATATACAGATTTTTTTTAATACTTTAGAACAAAGAAGTGTGACAGCAACATCATGTTTCTGAGTTTAAATTGGAGTGTGAAAGTAATTTAAGCAGGAGGAACTTCTGGGTTTAAAATTTCGTGTGGATTATTCTAGCGCTTTAGGTTTTATTTGAAATATGAGTTGAATCTGTGGTTCTTGCTATTTGAAGTGACTCACTTCTAAAACTTGGGCTGCTTTGCCTGCTATTCCACACATCTAATGCATCAGGTACAAAGGACAGCTGGCACTTCATCAACCTGATGTGAGCCTTCAGTGAAATTTATGGTGGGATCAGCTAATCCTGGTCAAAATGCAACACAGATGCTCCTCCTCCTTCTGATTCAAGGAGATAAGTACTAATGGAAATCTATATGATTCTGATTTGTGAGCAGAGAAAGGATTAGCCCAGGCATCAGGGAGTCAGATTTTTATCTAAAACATGTTAAGCTCTTTGTCACTATGTAGAGTTTCCATTTTTGAAATTGTCCTTCCTCCTTCATTTGAAGCTACTTTTCCTCCTTTCTGTTTTCTTGTTGGTCCACTTCCCAATCTCATCTTTATTTTTAGGTTTAAATATCCTTAGTTTAAAGTTTCTGGGCAATTCCTTACTTGCACTGGAGGTTTTAGTGCATCAGACTTTTGTATTTCACTGTGACATTGAATGACCCATTTTAGCTACTGATTAAATGTTTGTTCAGATAACACATAACTCATTGTTTATTACACAGTAGATACAAATGTAAATGACAATGCAGGGTTTGTAAAATAAGGTTTAATGGCATTTGCACAAACACAAAAATACAGGCATGTAGAATTGGAGAATAAGACCCAGAGTGGAGTCTCTGAGGCATTAAGTACCTTCGTATCCTAAAGACAGTCGCAAAAATATGGGGGCTAGGTAATTCTCCAGGACATGCTCAGAGGTGATTGAACTAACTCTGCTAACTTGAATAATCACCCAAACCTAAAAAAATGTCCTGACCTGACTTCTCCAGTTAACATAAGGAAATAACTGAAAAAAGGAAAGAAGGAGAAAGAATCACTGGTGTTGAAATTAACACTGTGACAGGGAGATCCTGCTGTTAGCTTGCCCAGGAAGCTGACCACCCAACAGTTGATACCAAAGACAAGCTTAGGTAATCTTCATTAATCCATTTGGGGTGCACTGGCTGTTTTACATCAGAGAACTGTTTAATGGAGTCCTGATAGGCTGCCCCCAAGCATTTATATCACTCCCTGAGACAGCAATCACAGGTCACCTGCCACACAGAGGTTGTTGATTGCCAGTGTTCGCTGAAGAATCAGGATACACACCAGAGGACTGGCAAGAAAACCTATTGAAGTGTAACTAAGTTTGCCTTTTCCCCAATCCTTGACCCAATACTAGGGAATATAGAATCACCAAGGAAAGAGCTGACAATTGCTTGGGGAAAGCCTAAACCTGGAGGGGGAAGGGTGTAAAGGCAATAAAATCAAAGGTTTAGAAAGGACTGTAACTGAGTTCTCAATATTTTATATAATCAAAAACTTATGGGATGTGTCTGAGATAATATGAAGAAGTAGTACAGAGAGTCAATTGAACTTGAGTGAAGGTTGTTGTTAGAAAAAAAAAATCACATCAGCTTCTCGTTGAAGGCAGACTGTTCAGTAATCTGGTTACTACCACAGTCAAGTTCTCCCAGATCAACCTTACAGAGGTGAGAGGGAAAGAAATACTTGGTGGAAGGATGAAAGACAGGGGCAATATGGAGGGCACAGGTGAAGAGACCTTGGAACAGAGTAGGCTGATGTGTGTGGGGCTGGGGTGGGGAGGGGGACTCATCCATCCACTCATTTGGTAAATATTTAAGCAGAGCCTGTACTGATGGATACTCTGGAAAGAGCAGGGAACACAACAGTCACGGTCTTTCCCTCATGGAAATTATGCTTCTTAATTAAAAATACATGCACAGATGACCAATAAATTTTGACGGTTCTGCATACCTGAAGAGAGGAAACTATTAGAGCCAAATGAAGTTACAAAATTAACTTGACGTGTATTCAATGATATGCAGATTCGTTACTGTGCTGAACAATAATTTCTTCCAAAGTAATTCTCCCATCTGTTCCCTTATTTCTGTTCCTACTGCCACTACTCTGTTTAGGGTCTTATTAGCACTTGCAAAAAATTCATGTTATAGCCTTCCACCTGGTCTCTTACCTTTAGTTCAGCTTATACCTTGCTACTTAACATTAATCTTTTTAAAAGCTTTAAGTCAACCCCTGTCCCCAAACCTGAATGTCCTATTCCAGCATTTAAGGCCAGTTGAGATCAATCTAATATCTCACTGTATTATATGTATACTAATGAATGTGATTAGATGTATGTGTATGTCTATATAGTACAATAAATTGCTAGCCGTTCCCTGGATGTGAACTGTGCAAAACATAGTTGTAAGTTTGCTAATTAATTTTCTATAGTTTGATTACTTTGACACTACCTCTGGAGTGATTTTTTTCCAGGACTGGCTTCTCTTTTTGGGCTCTAACATACAAATTTTAACCCTTTGTTGGATATTGCACATAGATGTCCAATAATTATCACCGGTATAAGTCATAATCAAATTTATGTTCTTCAGCTCAAAAGCAGCTCCACTACACCATGTTTCCCATCTCAGTCACTGGGGGAATTAACACTTCATTGTCCAAGTAGAAGCTTAGGCATCACTGTTTGCTTCTTTCTGATTACCATAATATTCAGGCAACAATTCCTATAAATTCTTGATTTCCAATATGTGTCTCAATCCAGTTTCCTTCTTCCAAAATGGACTTTGGAACCTGACAATCACAGTTATTTATTTTACTGGGTGATCTTTGGAGCCTCACTTTCCCATTTTCTAAGATAAGCACGGTAATATCCAGCCCAAGTGGTGGTGTTGTAAGGATGGTATGGTATAGAGTATGTAGGTTGCTGAGTACAGTGCTTTGAATACATCAGCCCTTCAATAGCTCTTAGTTCTCTTCCTGCTCCACTATCCTAAATTAGGTCCTTGCTCATTTTGAAACTGCACAAAATTCTGCCCTTGGCTGCTAATCTTTTCGATGTCCAATCAAAACTCTTCTCTCATCTCTTCCTCTTTCCCTCATCGCCTTCTTTACCTTGCTTTAGAAAGGCACATGTCTGCTTGACGTCTCACTCCTCTTTCCCTCAGCTCACAGCTGTTTTTCAGAAACAGAGCTAACAGGGTCATCCAAGTGGGTTGAATTGTTGTTTCTAATTTTCTGCTCTCTTCCTGTAGCACCATGTCTCTGTGGTCTTTACCAAGGGAGCTGCATTATACCCCACTGTGGCTGATGTTACTTCTCATTCCCATGGATGATGGCCAGTGTAACAGATAGCAGTATCGGTCCTCTCTATAGGCAGTTTATAAATGAGGCCTCTGTGCTTCTGTGTTCTACTCATTCTTTGTGTTCTTGTGCTATTCTTATATACACATGTACCTATACATATATATCCTTACGTAAGAATAGCAACTGCTGAGTAGTTGCATAACTGCTGTTACTAGGAGAAACATGAGGACTTGTGGGGCAAACCCAAATTTAACTCAAAGCTTGGAGTCTATTCTAGCTTGATGGAGCTCAGGAAAGTCCAGTTGAAGTTAGCTGACTCATGGACCCATGGGTAGATGCTTTTAGTTTTTGTTGTAAACTGCTGAAATTTTGATGTACTTGGAGAAACAAGATAGAGTTACTCCTTGTTTCAAAAGCTTTGGTGTTTATACACTGTGCCTATAGAATATAACCTAAGCTCTAATTTATGAATCCATTAGCAAAGGCATCCCCATGAAACAGAGAAACATTAGGAATGCTGAGCTATGCTAATGTGAAGATTCTTCCTAAGTTAACCTCCCTGTCACGTAGACACACCTACCTATGCATCATTATTATTCCTAAATGAAGTCCCTATGGTATGAGTCTGACTTCTGGGGTATAATCCGCTACTTACTTGGCAGTATACCTCCGTACCTTTGTTCATGCCATTCCCTCTGCCAGGAATGCTGTTTCTACCTGTTCTCCTGTTGAAATTGCATCTGTCCTTAAAAGGTCCTATTAAACACTATCTCCTCTGTGGAGGCAATTCTGATATTACCCTTATTTCCAAGTGAGCATTTGTCATATCTTCTAGATTCCTATAGTAATTTGCAAATATTTCTATTGCAGTATTATAAAAGTCAATTTTTGATAATAGTAATAAGAATATCTGCTTTTCACCGGACTGCCAAATCCTTGGTGAAGAAACAAGGCTTAGTCATTTTTGTAGTCCCTAAAGTGTCCAGGAACATACCTCACACATGGTAGACATCTGCTAAATGTTTACTAAGTTAATGGACT